TTAGAAATTTAGAAAAGTAATCAAAAAGTAATCAAATGTAATCAGTTACATTACTTTAATAAAGTAATTGAAAAATTACACTACTTATTACATTTTAAGTAGGGTAACTTGTAATCTGTAACCTATTACATTTCCAAAGTAACCTTCCCAACACTGGTGGTTCTTTCTCTGTATATCTTCAGGTTAATGACTTTCAGCCCCATAATGCACCATCTATTCAGTCTATCTATTCCAGTGTTGACTAAAACTATCCCCGTGGATGATGAAGTTAAAATGCTGCATACAACGACATCACAAGTTTACAAAGTGAAACGTACCCGATTAAGAGTGCTTCTCCAATCTGGTCATCTGTAGAGCGAAGAGAAACATCAGTAACAAACATCTAAGATCGCTTAAAGAGCACTAAGCAAACACAGCCACTTACCCAGCGAGACTTCGCAAGCCATATCAGTAAAATATATCTATATATATATTACTGTTGATGTTATTTAGTGTTTCAGGTAATGTTTTCGGCTGGGTGTAGCTATGGGGAATACCACCCTATTTCAGCAGGCTACTTCAACTTTTGTGGAGTTCAAGAACAACTTCTGTGTGGCTGCGCCCTCCGGAGGTCACTTATGTCGGCCGCCTACGTCATTGAGGTCGCCTCATGTCAGAAATGTTACCACTGCATTCCAAAATGATAAATGAGTTACAGTAATGTACGCCTTACGATGAATAACTGCCAATGTTATAATGGGTACTTTTCTGAACTGGGACAACATCGATGACGTAACCTTCAAGATGGCAAGTATGGACGCCTTCCTGAAATCACTGACTCGTCCATCTGATATCTATGCCATTTAACGACTATAAAGTCCTGTGCATTTTTTTAACGTATTACTTATTGTAGTGACAGCTCAGTCTATTTTTGTGAATGATGATGAGTTCCTCTGCTGTCTTAGTCCAAGTATGATCTAATGGAGTTTAGGTTGACGTCGACAACAACTAGTGTTGCCATGTCCACTTATTATAAGCGTCTCTGGGATTCTTTGTTCATAGTTTACTTATAAATACAGGCAGTAATGGGTTGTGTGTTTTCCATGTAATTAATTTCTAATTATTTAAAGTATATTTTATTACTTTAAAAGTAGCCTAATTTAGAATAAAATTACTGAAAAAAGACACTATTTTGCAACAACTTGCAATGTAGTCTTGATAAAACTATGTTTATGCAATCTATGTTTTTTTCTTTTCTTTTCTTTTCTTTTTTATGGTGTTCCATCCAGGCATTTCGTCAAATCGGGGGAAAAAACAAGGTTCGCTCATCTTCGCTTTTTTGGCGGCTTGCTATTATACCTTGCGCGATCTGGCAACACAATAACACAGGAAGAAATACCAGCCCAGACTTGAAAACTCACGTTGAGTGCTCTTTTGAATTGTTTAATGTTTACTTACGTTTTTTCTTGCGATCTATATAATTCGTCAGGTCCTGCTTGTTGTTGTAGTTAGTACTGGACAGCTTTGCACATTTGATCGCTGTAATCAAGTGATAGAATCACTGCACACTCTGTATTATTATTTTATTTTGAATTGGCATATTTTTCAGAAGTCAGTAACAATTATTATTTCTATAGGTTAAATTGTTATGGCAGGTACTTCGACAAAGACTGTGCACGACATCTTTCAAAATATGGAGTATGGACCATCCAGCACTAGCACGGCAACTGCACAGGTAAAGCGCTGATTCCTCGGGTAAATTAACTTTGTATCTTAAATGCATTTTAATACATTGAATCGTCCGTTTGTTACTTATGTATCGTTTAAAGCGTCAGAGCATACTGCCACCTTTTCACCCAATGTGTAAATGGTTTACATGTGGCCGTACATTAGGATGCAGACAGCTCACGAGAAAAGCATGTGACAAGACGCTTGTTGTCCTCTTGCTGTAAATTTGCATTAAAACACTATGGATGTCTCAAACGAGTTCACTTAAAAATGAAAATGTACTCATTACACATCCTTAACATGTACCAAGTCCATATGACGTTTTTCTTCTCATCTCAAAATAACATCTTAGGCAGTTGCCAAGTGACAGCTTTAGTCACCAACTTTAGGCATATTTTTGCCATGCAATTAAAGTGAAAGGTGACTGAGCTTGTCAATGTTTATATGTCTTATATCACACATAAAAAGCCAAAGAGAAGTTATACAGGTTGGAACAACATTAGTATAAGTACATTTAATTTTCTTGTAAACTACACTTTTAAGTGCTGTGAGCAGAGTTCAATATAGTTAGCTGTTCATGTATTTTGTGAGAGCCATATGTTCTATGAATGATCTACTGCAACCTTCACCCTGTTTTCACAAAGCCACTCTATTGGTTCTCTCAGAGAGGTGGAACAACCAAACTACAGTTTGTAAATCAAACATGCTTGTTGTTTGAATCATCAGAGAAATTAGAATTTTCAGTTCTTAATTTTAAAGTGTAATGTCACCCTTGCTGTCCAATTTGTGTGAGATATTCATTCCACTGAAACACAAACTCTCTGGAAGATGTCCATTTTCTGTGTCATTCTCTCAGTCATGGCTGGTGAAACACTCTCGCGTTCTTGGCTTCTTCATTGATGGGAAATTTTTCAGCCCTGCAGATAGACAGACCCATGATGTGACTGATTCCAAAGGTATGCATTATTTGATCTTTTCCTTAAGTGCATATCTGTTATATAATCTGTCATGTAATGATAAGATATCTTCTCCTGCCCTCCTCCTGTCTTTGTACAGCAGCGGTGGTCTGCAGCACTGTTTGTGCTAAAGATGAGGATGTTGCGTCTGCTGCCTCATCTGCAGCTGGAGCCTTCAAAACCTGGAGTGAATTGAGCTGTTACCAAAGAGCCAAAGTGTTACTCAAGTACTAGAGCTTAACTTAAAATAATATACAGAAATAATTAACCTATCACATGATAAAGGCATTTATAATGTTACAAAAGATTTCTATTTCAGATAAATAGTGTTCATATCGATATCGGAATTATATCGTGTCGACCGAAATTAAGAAATATATCGTGATATCAATTTTGGCCATATCGTCCAGCCCTACACAGTAATAGTCATGTTACATCATTATGAATATATGTCTGTGCCCCAGGTTGGCGAGTGTCCTGCAAAGACACAGTCAGTGTGTGTCTGAGCTGTGCGAGCTCTCTCAGTCTTCTACCTCTCCCGCTGTGCTCATTAGACTGGCCCAGTACTATGCCAGCTGGGCTCAACTACGAGACACGCTCATGCCTGAGTGGATCCCACAAGGTATGCCAGCGTTTGTTTGTGTATATGAGTCTGAGAGAAAGAACTTGTTGAAGACAGTGAGAAAATGTGTTGTAAGTAGGAGGCATGGTTGTAAGTCTCATGTCATGTTTTGTCTCTCCACTAGGCGTTGTGGCAGTGGTTGTTTCAGATGACTGTTCCGTCTACTATCTTCTGCTTAAGGTTTTGCCAGCTCTAGCTATGGGTGAGTCTTTCTCTTAAAACATGATATGATACATAATATATGAACAATAATATGATACTTTCTTTTCTGAGTTTCATATACTCTCCAGACATTCAAAGGATGAATGAAGTGACATAAAAAAACAGAAGAAAAAATAAGATAACATTTTTTTGTTTATTTTTTTAAATAACTTGCAGACAGCAGCAGTTAAGGCATCTGTTAACTTGTGTTGACCGTAATAAATCTGTGGTGCTTTCAAAAAATTGCATTGTTGCAGATGCAGCCCTAATGGCACATAAATTACATGTTTCACATTTAAAGATAATACTGAAAGTTATAAATTAATTTTAAAAATCAATTTTGTACTTGACCCTAGTATTGATTGACAGTGTTTTGAACATCTTCCCTATGAAATTGTGTGTGTGGGGGGTGTATTTTTTAAACCTTTTTCATTGGTTTACCTTTATTATTATTATTATTATTATTATTATTATTATTAGTTTTTATTAATAAAATATTTTACATTTTTTATATTTTCCATTGTAATTTTAGTTAGTTTTATTCATTTTGTGTTTTTGTCATTTGATTGGTTTTGTTTTTAAAATATATCTATATTGTTTTTATTATTATTATTTATTTTTTTTATGTTTTAGTACATTAAGTTAAACTAACTGAGAAATGTTTCCTTGGCACTAGCTGAAATAAAATGACTATATTTCATTTTATTTTAGTTCATTTTTATTTTATTTTAAGTAACAATTTTTTGTAGTTTTAGTTATAACTACAGTTAACTATAATTATAACCCTGCTTTAACAAATAGTATATACATTTATTATTTAAAATAGCTTAATTCATTAGAAGTTGTTACTCATAAATGTAAAAAACTAGTAATCCTTTCTGAATGAGATGTGAGGGTGCAAACCAAACCGTGGCTTAACCATTATTTATTTACATGTCTATTCATTTTCTAGGCAATGCTGTTATTGTGGTGCCTGGCAAGACTAGCACTCTTCCTGCCCTTCTGTTGGCTCAGCTGTTTATGGAGGCTGGAATCCCTGCCGGAGTGCTGAATGTGGTCTCAGGCAGTGAAGCATCACTGGGTGCCAAAGTGGCTCAAAATCCACAAGTGAACTACTTGACCTACAGCGGAAGACAACATACTGGAGAAGCCCTGGCTAAAGCAGTGGCTGGTTGGGGAGTCCCCATGTCTTTCTCTCTCTCACTTAGCTCTGTGTGCACTTTTATCATCTTTGATTCGGCAGACCTCGACAGTGCTGTGGATGGAGTGATAGAGCTGGCCTTCGAGAAGAAAAGAGATGTATGAAGAAAAAAAATGCAGTTATTTTAAATTGTAACAATATTTCACACTATTGCTGTTTTACTGTATTTTGATTTTAAAAAATGCAGCCTTGGAAAGCACAAGAAATTATTATCAAGAATATTTTAAAAAGTCTTAACTATTTTAGTATATACAGTATATATTTTACAAGTTTACAAGGTTTTCAGCAAAGAAATTAGGAAAATATTATGCAGTATTTCTGTATGTATTTAATATTTAGGTATCTAATATTTAATATATACTACTTGTTATTTTATTTTAGTGCTTATTTTCAAAAAGAAAACCAGTTAACAGCACTTCTGCAGTACCGCCATAGTCTGCTAGGGGTGCTCATTGATTAAACTACTTGTCATGTATAGAACAAATATAATAATTATCTTTTTGCCTGCTTCTCTCTTTCGCTTGTCCAGTTCCAGTGGGTGCTCTGTGTGCAGGAATCAGTGTTGGACAGTGTTGTGGCCAAGCTGAAGTTAAGAATGACTGGGATGAAGTGTGTTCCACTTGCCACCGAGACTGACAGGAATTTTATAGAGGCTGCAGTTCAGGAAGCCCAGCAGCAGGGGGCGACAGTGTGTGGACATTTAAGTTTAGATGTCACCAAATATTTTAGGATGGTTTTTTTAAGCTTTTATTGGACGAATGCTTTCATCTTTGGGTTTTCTTGTTGTTTCATATCTTGTAGCTGATGCAGTCATGTCCACCTGCTTCTACTGGTGCTCTCTACCCCCCTACTGTACTGTGTGGACTGGCTCCTTCCTGCGAGTCTGTGATTTCACCTCCTCCAGGCCCTGTGCTGCCTCTCATATCCTTCAGGAGCTCTGCTGAAGGAGTTACACTCGGTGAGGCTGAAAAAAATAAGAACTGATTAATAAAGACTTTATCACAGTCTGGAGAAGTTGACGCTAGTTGCCGAAAGTCAGAGCCAGTCAGTCTGCAGATTTGAGTTGACAGATTTAATAGAAAATCGTGTAGTGTATGATGGTCACAGCCTCCGATTTGTTTTTAGCTTCAGATTATGATTCCATCCAGTCGGAGGATATCAAACATGTTTGATGTTTTCAGAACACATTGAACACACCGATTTTAGAACACATTGTTTTCATTTGTCACGCATCTCCTAGCAACAAAGCGCATGTTTCTGCATGAGTTTGTTGTGATCTGAACAACTTGAAAGTCTGGTAGTGTGTGATCCTCAGTTGTGTAGTGTATGATGGCCAGTTCTCCTTTGTCACTCTTCTTCTCGGTAAGTGTATGATGCCTAGTGTTTTAAAAATCTGTTCAGATTTTAAAAGTCATGTAGTGTATTCCAGCCTTTAAGTGAAAAGTTGAACGTTTTGTGATCTGTGGTTGTGTATAGGAAACCACAGTCCTTATGGTCAGGCGGCCTCCATCTGGACTGAAGATTTGACTCTGGCTTTGGAGTCTGCAAAGAGGTGCATCCATGCTTGATCAAGTACTTGGGCAACCATCAGTTGTCTTGATTTCATTTTGATCTTGATCTCTTACTTCCTTTGTTTTATCTCTTTTTCTCTCACACCCTCTCTTTTTCTGTCTCCATAGTCTGTGTGTAGGTTCAGTGTGGGTGAACTGTCATTCTGTAATGGATCCTGCATTGCCTCTGTGTGGACGGAGGGAGAGCGGGAACTGCACAGATGGAGGCAGAGAGGTACAGTATATTATGGTCACATGTTTAGTTTCATGTACTGAGAATGGGATTCAATGTTGTTACCAGAGTTGCCCATATACCACACCATGTTACAACACAGTAGGGCTATTGTAGACAGAAACAATACTGTACTACATCGATGTTTCCTGTTGGCTCAATTTTTGAGTGGACTTTGCTGTTCTGATGAGCATGAATGGTATAGGAGTGGAGCGACTGAGCAGAGCGCACACGCATAGAGCGGGATAATTCGCAGAGCGTCACACCACGTGAAAGTGAAACCTGAGCGGTGAACTAATTTTCGGCAGCCGAAATTTCGGTGCATCTCTAATTATTGGCGACATCAGAAATGGATATTATATAATAGATGCTTTTTTGAACATTTTAGCAATTTAAAAATATTAAAGAATTTTTTACACGGCACCCCTGCTCTCGACAGCGGCACCCCGGTTGGGAAACACTGGTCTATGCCATTGTTTCGGTTCCTTTGGGTTTCTGTACTATATTTCTGATTGGTTGTATGGTCTTGTTTGGTGAGCAGTTTTGAATGTCTGACTCCTTTTAGTGCTTTTTGTTCCTCCTAAAGGGTCTGTATCAGTTCCTTCGGCCGTCACATTCACCCTCCTTCCCTCGCTCCAGTCCCAGCTCTATCAACTATGCTGATTTTGGCTCTGCAGTTTCCAAATTCATGATACCTGAAAGATTTGATCCTTCCAGGTGGGTGTGTTGTGGCTCATAGTTTAATGGTGAACTGCAAAGTGCATATAGGTTTTGTGTCATAAAGTGAACAGACTAGTTACAGCTGGTATAAACATAAATATCATCAAAAGTCTGTCTTGAGAAGTATTTAGATTGGGTTTAGATTTTAGCACTAACACCTCATTTCTACAGGGTCATTCCGTAGTCAACTGAGCCAGAGTTTTGATTTTTTTCCTGGTGAAGTATTTAATGTCATGGATGAATATTTACTGATCATTCCACTATTTTGTAGATAGTGTTTAGAACTGTAGAGGGGTCAAAATGACTTGAATTTGGAAAATGAAAAGATTTGGAGCCAAATTAAAGGGGGGAAATTACTTTAGAAAGGTGGCATAGAGCAAAATAGTTCTGTTAGTAAAATTTGTAGTCTTTAGGAATCTTTGTTGCATTGTATGCCAATGTTGAAAAACATTGTTGCATTGTATGCTTTTTGTGTTCTTTTTTGCAAAGTTTCAATAAAATCTCAATATCCTTTTAGATTCTGGTTCTTAAACCTCTTTGGTATCTTCATTTCTAAGGCCATATATGGTTCAATCCCAGTGATATGGGGATCTCAATGTAGCTCCAAGTGCAAGTTGTTGAATTTGACCCATTTTCAGTTTAAGCCAGAAGTATACTTCTCTTGTCCGCATTCTAGTCAAGTCAAGTCACCTTTATTTGTATAGCGCTTTATACAATACTGATTGTGTCAAAGCAGCTTTACATTGTCAAACAGGAAAATAGTTTGTCAATAATGCAAGAAGACAGTAACAGAGTCTGGATTGCGGACAATTCGTGTGACGTAATTTGTTCATCTGTGCTCACAGTCAGTGCAGTGTGCTTTGAAAAGCTTGCGTAAGACGGAACACAGAAAATAAACTATACCTGAACTTTTACCCAGGGAAGCTTCTGAAATTTGACACGGAATGACCCTGTACTAAAATCATAATATTTTAATTGATTTTCTTGGTATTGTAGTGACACTACCAGCAGCAAATTGTGTGGGACTTTCCACTCACCTCTCTCTTTGAAAATGAATTGTGGTGTTGCTGGAAAACATTTTTGAGCAGCTTCCTGTACTGTAGTTCACAATGCTTCACTACTTCCTTGCACTTCACTAACTACCTCTCTGCCCCATAGAAATCAAATCACAAAATACTGTAAAATGCACCCTGACTTCAAAATTGATATTGATTTTCCTTTTTCCCCCTTTTTCTATTTTTCTGTACCGATGAGTTGTGTAACATCAATTATATTATTTAATAGTATTACTGTATTTTTAGTACTTAACCTTTAGTATTTAAAATGTGGCTAAATGACCACTACTGCTGTCTGCTAAACTCAGACCTCCTCTTGTCTTCTTCTATGACCCATTTCTCTCTTTTTCTGTCTCTCACAGTGTCCCTCGCTTTTACTACCAGTTCGTGGGTGGTCAGTTGCATAAAGCTGACTCGGGCTGCAGCAGGTCAGTGTTGGCCCCTGGGGGCGCTGTACTGGCTCACTGCCCAGATGGAGGCAGAAAGGATGTCCGGAATGCAGTAGAGGCCGCCATTAAGGTCCAGCCAGGGTAGGAGCATATGAGAAAGTTATCATGAGGATAAAACATATGGACCAAAACAAATTTAGGTCAACCTTTTTTTTTTTGATAAAATAGTGACAGAACTACTGTGTTGTTACAGGTGGACGAAGAAAAGCCCCACTGCACGCTCTCAGTCACTTTATTCACTTGCTGACAGTCTAGATAAGAGAAGACGGGACTTGGCTGTATCGATCCAGACTCAAACCGGCATCTCATTAGAAGAGGCAGAGAAAGAAGTGGAGCTTAGCGTCTCCAGACTCACTGATTGGGCTGCACGTTGTGATAGAGAGCAGGGTGGAACTCCAGTAAGAACCTACATTATTTATTAATTAGTATTGGAATGTTTGAATGATTAACCCAAGATTTCATTTGCCTGCTTTATAATTACGTGTCCATCTCATTAAAGTTCCCGCCCCAGTCTGGTTCCGCCCTGTCAACTCCTGAGGCTTTAGGGGTGCTGGGAGTGATTCTCCCCAATTCCAAACCGCTGCTCTCTCTGGTGTCCTTGCTAGGGGCAGCTGTTGCCATGGGTAATGCTGTTATCATGGTGCCAAGTGAGAAATACCCTCTTCCAGCTCTTGAATTTATCCAGGTTTGTTACTTTTCAAATAAATACATTTCTGTATATGTCAGGGACGCGGGAAGTAGGGGTGCTGAGGGGGCTGCAGCACCCCCTGTTTTCACATGGTTGCAAATGCAACACCAAGTTTGTTCATTTAAATGTATTCAGTTTTAGCATTTAATAATTTATTTGTAATGATCTCTGAAATGTAAATTGTAAGTGGGCTATAATAAACCCATATTTATCTTTATAAACTTGATTAATTTTACTTGTGATGTTTTCTATATGGAATGATTAGCCTAATCCTCATGAACACGTGACGCTGGCGCGTGGTATCAGACATGAACTATACAGAATGCGAACAAGATTAACTTTAATACAAGGAGATAATGGC